CCTCAGTCTTACGCTTATTCTCCCCATTTCGATGTCGTGTTTTCAAATGTGCACTGCCTTTTTTGCGCTTTTTTTGTTCTTTATTTTATTTCCTTCCAGTTTTACAAACAGTGCCAATACTGGTTGTTTCTCCAAAACTTTTGAAGTGTCGCGAAAGCGATCTTTTGATTTTATCGCTGGTTGCGTTCTTTACCAAATACGTCCAGTTAATTCATACCTACTAGAGTTACTAGCAAAGTAAGACTACCTTCGCCTTCGCTTTCCGCCATCCGAGGGCATCCAGATGTGCAGTGATTTCTTCTTTTTCCAAAATTTGAAGAGTAATCAAGTTAGCAGTAATAATTTTTCATACTTTTTTAATTTGTTTTACAAGGGAAGAAGAAAAGTAGTTAAACTTTCTTACAGTTTTTTGTTGAAAATGCATAAAAAGATTTTTTGTAGAGTATTCCTGGCGCTCACTTTCCGAAATGTTCCCAATCGTTTGGGGTTCGTCAGCATACAAAGGTGCTAATGAGCCATCATCACAGTACCTCAATTTGAAGCACTACATCCGGAATAATAAAGCATGGCTTAGCCATCGAAAGGCAAATTTTTGGAATTAATTTTTTCACAACTTTTTAAAACTTGTTAGAAGATAAAAATAGTTCAATGCGCAAGTTTGTTATTTTAAAATGCAAAATTACAGATGTATGGCCCACTATTTCGCACATTTCGTGGTTTGATTTTAACGGGCTGGCAGCGATATGATCACTTTGCTGTACTATGTGAAATTCTCCCAGTTGGACTTCCTTCGGCAGTTATGAATCTTATGGTAATTTATTTCATGCTCTATGTTATGGAGTTTTGAAAAATTTTAAAGAGCTGAAAGAACTGTTAAAGCTGACTGATCACCTAAGCTATTTCAGATTGCAGAAAGCGATGAAAAAAGTTCAGCAGCATCCATACTTCGTCGAGTAGCAGATACACTGAACTGTACATCGAAGATCTCAATTGAATCCGTGTCGTCGTTTAGTTTTTGTGAATTTCCAGGTTTTTTTTTTTTTGAATTTTGCAAACTGTCTACTACAGCATGGCTAGTGAGATCTCGTAGCGCAGATATGATCAGCAGTATTGCACAACAAAGACTGCTCGTAGCAAACTGAGATCATTATTCCACATGAAAAGTATGGGCTGAAAAAGAACTTGACGTCTCGCCTTCATTATTTCTGGGTCACTTATATATGCTCTAGTGTGACTGCGCAGAGTCCTGTGTTGTAGATATGGCGGTGGGACAATTCTTTGTTTCCTACTAGCTTTTCGTTGGAACTCTGCGAGACATCTGTTAGTTAAAGAGTTTTGAGAATCTATTTTAGAATTTATTATTTTTTCTGTGACATTCATTCTCTGCCGCTCTGCTGATTTGGCCTATTGTTAAGAAATTGCTGCTTTAACAGATAACAGAATAACAAAGAAAAGATGTTTTATAGGTTCGGAACTATTTTACGCCATTCACGTTACTTTACGTGAACGAATAGAGGCGATTGAAGCGGAAGTATTCGAACACCAGCAAGTAAAGGGCTGGCTGGGTCGTTTCAATGTGCGACATAATTATACCCAGCTATGGTACCTGTTGCAGCTAGAAAGTATCATCACATCGCATTTTGAAGGAATGCTAGAAGTGGTATGCGCTGCTGCCCTATTTAAAGCTTTTTCTGTTCCAACGGTTCTAATTTACTGTGCATATGTGGTATATGCTTAAGCATCCAACAAGCATGCGATTTTGCCAGAAAAACATTAGTATACAGCTACTAATCTCCTGTTTTTTGCATCTAGAAATTTTTTTTATCCGAATTGTTTCCACTTGATTTTTGCTGGATAGGCTATTGCTGGATAGGCTCCATTACCAACCTTGTTGACCAAAAATTGAAAGAATAAAAATTTAAAGGATGTAGACTGGGTGGCTAGTTTCACATGCATGGATTTTTTATTGGATGCTGCTTCTCATGTTTTATTTTAGTACCAGCTTTATTTGGATTTTGTACTCAAATCCAGCTAATTTGCACTCTAAGAGCTGGAAAAGTCCTTCGAACGAATAAAAAGCGACTATCAGTTGATAAACTATTAAAAGCAAATTGGACAAGAAAAAAAAA